ATATTAATTGCAGAACCTAGGACACTCACGGCAGAAAACAAAACAAGGCCATATCTGAGCTGCGTAGTTTAGCTCATTACTTTTCAATGGGCCATATATATACCTAAAACCTAAGCCTATGTTTAGGTGCTTTGCTGAATCAAGTCTTTGCTGAATCCTGCTCAGCCAAAGCTGTTTACCTTACTGTTATTCTGAGGTAAGTCCCACTGATCGCAAGTTGAGACACAATTGTTAAACTCAGAGCACATCTATAGGTGCTGGCATCTGAAGTCCACTTTTGGAAGACATCCACTTTTGAAAGTGTGGGCTTGGGTGACCCTGCTCTTTTTTATCCAGACAGGACTGTAATGGAAATGCAGGGATGTGAAGCATTTGCCACTATGTCTTTGCAGTGAACATCATTGCATGTGGCAGTGCAATGAGACATTCTGGAGCTCAGGTGTCTTTTTGCTCCTAATACCATTAAAAGGCCTATTTACTAAAAAGCCCATGAGGCAAACCTCAAACTAGCAGAAACAACAACTGAAGTGGGGGAGACTATCTGAACTCCATGAAATATTTACAGACAGCTTTAGGAGCACTGGGATGAAGAAAGTACTTTCAAGTGTAGACAGAAAACATAATGGATATAAAAATCCTTTTTTAGCCCTTGGAGAGATTTGTTTTCATGAGTCCTTATAAGCTAATGTGAAAAAGAACAAAAGAAAAGAAAACAAAAACCTATGAGGTCATCCCAGCTGCCTCCTGCTCTTCTAGGAGAGGAGCGTTGTGTTTTGTAACACTGCCTTCACTTTAGCTCCCACTGGCTCAGACAGCAGAAGCCTAACCTGCTTCTTAGGAGGCTTCTCAAGTTTTCTAAATATTTCACTTGGTGGAGTTTTCCACTCAAAAGAATTTAATATGATATTTATAATGATCATGTCACAGAAGKATCTGTATCTTGATTTCAATTGCACCCCTTTAGACACCTCTAAATAATTCCTCGCCCAGACTGGTGGATATGATGCTCAAGCTCCCCGCTGCAGCCACACTTCTCGCCACTTAGACACGCTGAACTGTAGCCATGCTCTGCTCTTACCGAGCCTTCTCAAGCTGATTCTTTTGGGGACATTCACATCTACTCTTTTCTACGCATACTCAAGATATATGACTATTACACTTGAGGGAAAGGACAAGGAGATGTGAAGGAGAGAAAAGAATTAAAATGTCTTCATGCTACTCCAACTGTGTAGGCACTGAAAGAGCCATGCTAAAGATCTGGCCCCCACATATTGTTTAATTCTTACCTCCAGGATTTATGACCAAGCTATTGCTTCCATTTCTATTTCCTCCTACATTCCTAATGCTCTCCTCCTGTCCCCCACCCCAGCGTTTTTTTGTTGTTTTATTAGAATCTTTGAGTTTTCCATTGCTGTTTGGACATTTAGTGGAAGTTGTWTAAAGAAATTAAACTGCCTCTAAAAGAGATTAAACAGGACAAGTTTCTGCTCTCAAACATGCCTCAGAATCAAGATCACACACAGAGAGTCTCCTTGAAGATTTTTGTTTCCAGTATCCACTCCCAAGAGATTGTACAAATGCCACAGTAGAACAGCCACACGGAGGAATGGAGTTTAAAGAAATTTCAAAGGAATTAATGACATCCCTATGCACTTGTTTTCTTTGGATATTGTTCTTGATACATGCTTTCTTTCTTGAAAGAAAGAAAAAATACAAAACAGCCTTTCCCTCATCAAATGAAGCTTTCAAATGAAGATTTCCAAGGCATGTAGACTCTGTTATTTTTTAGCGGGATGTTAAAATGGCCTTCAAACTCAGCCATAGCGGACTGCATATATAAAATCTCAACAATATTTACAATTAGAAAGATTTGCTAATCCATTTCCTTTTTAGTTTCCATTCAAACCCAGATACACTTAGCATTTGAGGTCTCTAACATCTAAAACAGAACAGGGAATACAATAACCCCAGGTTATTTCAAATGTAAATAATGTCATCAACTATTGCATGAAAGCAGCTTTCTGAAACAAAGTTCTGAAATACAGAGGGGCACAAGTTCTACTACAGCCAAACTAAGCTGCTCTTTACACCAGGTTCTCCTGGGGTAAATTCACATCCTAAGAGCAGCTTATCTTCATGACACTACTCATAAGTGATCATTACTCCACTTTAAGTCTTGRGGAAGCCCAAGCAAGATGAAGCATTTGTCTAAAATCATAGASCAAGTCAGTAAAAGGTGCATTCCACAGAAGTAAACTTCGTGCATCGCTCTAATAAGCAAAATAGAATAAAACTTTCTGCACATTAAGAGAAACCTGTTTTTTTCAAGTTAATGCTTTCTTCAGTTTTTATATTTTATTTATATTTTAACACATGATGTATTTACCAGAAAGCAACACTGCAAGTTTTCCTGGCCCAAAATGGGAATTCAGCCCACTATCTATAGCTTTCTTTAAAGAGGGAGCATAGCATAGTGAACTATTAAAGAGAGGGTAAGAAGTTCAGTGCCTGTTTTCCTCTCTGCCCCAATTACAGAGTGGAGAAAAGCTGTATTTGCAGCAAACAGTGAGTTATTCTAACTCTAAAATAAACTAAAAACTGGCTGCATCTTCCTTATCTGAAAGGAAGAGAGGGGGAAAATGTCATTTTGAGCAGATGTAATTTTAGGGACCGAGTGCTAATTAGAAAAAGATCATGGAAAGTTAGATAAGGGAATATTGATCACACTGGTGTTGTATTAATAAGTTACAATTTTTCTTTAAAATTATTTTTGCTCATCTTTGCTTTTGTAAATACTGCAGAGAAAAGATGAAAGCCCCAAATTTGTTATCCTTGGCTGTTTTATATCTGCTTACTTCTCAAGCTCTTCCACCAGGTTTTCTCCTCTTCTTCTGTATTTTTTGCTGTAAATGTCTCCCCAAAGTCCGTTCCCAGGGCGATGCTTTGATTCCAGAGCAGGTTTGCTCTTCCAGGGTATAGACAGAGAGGATCAATGTAGATGAAGCCAAAAAACTGCATACAGCCAGGTGTCTCAGAACGAATACTGAACAGATGCTTAAGTCTGAGTTGTCTAACATTACCCTTCTGAGCCTRTATCTGTGCCTAGCAAAGTAGGACAAGTTTCAAGAAACAGAATACCTGTAGTGTTCAGTGCCTTCAGGAAGCTCTGTGGCTGCTCAGTCCTTCTGCAAGAGGCTAAACACGGACTCGGGTATATAATCATGGCCAGTGGTTCATTTTAAGTGTTTTATATATTGTTATAAACTGGTCTATTCACATAACAAAGTTTAAGCTCATATGTATTTACTGAAACTCTGTTTCAGCCATAAGCCCCTTCTTGACCCACACACACTTTCTCTTTCTTATTTGTTTGTAACGTTAAGGCTTGAAGGGTCTCACAGGAACAAGAAAGATGCTTTTGATTCTTCCTCTTTAAATTGCAGTGAAAAAGCTTTTATTGATCTTTAGTTTAATTTTAGAGGACAGCAAGTTCTGCTAAACAACTACAGACATCAGCCTGTCTACTGTAACTGCTGCAGTGATTCTACTGTAGCGTTTCTGAACTGGTTTTAGTCTCCATCAAAAAAAATTATAGAACAACTCTATGTGCTCCCAGACCCAGCGAGAAACACGATGCCGGCAGGAGCATCCCTCCTCTCCAGGCAATACCCTCTCCTACCCGGAGCCAGGGCTGTGCTGCTCTCTCCTTGCTCCTCTTCACGGCAGCAGCACCTGTGGCCCAGGAACCCTGCACGCTCCGAGCACCTCCCGACGCATCACGCTCGCACTGTTACAATACCACGGGCGCATCACCGCGGGCTTGAGCCAAAGTAGGAAGCTTCTAAAAGCCTTTTAAATTAGAATGAGAAATTTATGATTAGAGGGAGAGCAGTTGTGTATTTTACCAACTCCTACAGCATTCTGTTGGTTGTAGCAAGAACTGAGGCACTCCTCTCACCACCAACACCGTGGAACCTCTAAATCCATCTTTCACAGAGCTTAGTGTATCTGGTATCAATAATCACTCAGTAAAGAGTATTGAGCAGGAATTACATAGCTCATCAAGAACACCCTTAACAAGCACCTCTCGAGTAAATAACTTTGGGGAAATAAAGTTGTTGAGCTGCTAAGAATTGGTGTAAATCTATTGATTTCAGTGATCATAGAGAATCCTTCAAATAACTCACCTGAGCAAGCTTGGTGTAGCAATACCAGTACAAGTTTGGTAGTGGCACCCATTTCAGGATTCCTGTGTGTTTGGTATCAAGCCCACCCCAAGCTACCTGTGCAGACACTTTCTACTCCAGCCCYTCTGCCTTCCCCCCAAGCCTACGCCCCTCAGTTCATGGGAAGCTGTGAGATGCCATTTCTGAGCACACTCGAGCAAGGCGCACATCTGGCCAGACACAGCAGCACAGTCACAGTCTGCGCTTCCCGGGCCCCAAGGGACTGGCAGAACATGGCACGATACAGTTATGCCATCACTAACCCTAGTGACACTGCAGGAGCCCAGCTATAAAATCAAAAACTGAATACCAGTGAAACACAGGTCCTCACCTTCTGAAGTACTTTATATACATCCTCCAGACAATTAAATTGTATTTAAAATGCCTTTACTATTGTATACTTACTGTATTTTAATTAGCACAAGTTATCTGGAAAAGAGTTTGAGCCTGTATTTCAAGTTCTGTTCTAACACCTAATTATTCAAGGTACAATAAGAGTGCTTAGGGCAAAAAAATGGGTAAGAAAGTGTTGTTCACTGCAAAAGGAGAGCAACTGCTTCCAACAGTAACACTAGTGCTATCTGGAGTGAAATGTAGTACAAAGAGGCAAGAAGGCAAGTAACAATAGCAGGAAAAAAGCTTTTTGGTGTGACCATACATAAAGCAGTATTGATACTAATGTAAGGAAGTAAAAAAGAAACCAATTTTTGGCAAAACAATGAAGATGAAGAAAAAAATGAGATGGGGTCATGTATGCAATAATAAAAAATATAATCGCTTTTATTTTTTGCTGTTGTTGTTACAACTTAAGTAAGAGAGGGCTCTCGTGACAATTCAACATGCTGCAAAGCAATAAAACCACACAGATCCAAGTGCACTCCCAAGGTGGAATCCATCATTTTACAGCGTTTCTCCACCTCCCACACACAGCTCACATGCCAAGCCCTCTCCAGCTAGGAGCAGACAGCCGGAGTTACAGCTCTTCCCCAGCATCTGCAGAGCAGTTCCCTAGTTTGTTGAAGTGATGTTATTTCTTCTTGAGAGCTCTCTTTCCTTCCCCTTTCTTTGGTTTTTCCTTCCCGCGAAGCTTTTTCAACCGTCTCATCTCCTCTTTAAAGTCTTGATGCTCATCTCTAGATAGGTAAGAAAGATTGGTAGGAAAACAGATTTATTTCTTGACTGATCTAGATATGAAAGGTTGAACCACAGAATAATGAAGAAGAAAAAAATCCTTTTCCTAACAGTAAAGCCAATGCTGAACCTCGCTGTAGCATATCCAGTGTTACTGCTAACAATAATTGTGGACAGAATAATTTGCTCGGTACTTCAGAATTAACAAGGTTGCTCTTTTCAGCAACAAATGTCAGGTGTGCACATACATTTCTTGCACTGTATTTATCAACCCATTGTGTTTAAATGAGTAGGAAAATACAAAAAAAATCAGCAAGAGACAGGACTGAGAATTCCCCCCTTGTCGACTCTCTCAGCAGTGTGGCAATAGTGCATTGTGTTTCTGTGCAAGGTACCAAGTTCAGATCATTAATTTCTGCAAAGAGAGGGGCCTGCTGAACTGTAATTGCAGCGCATGACTCTGCTCTCAGGTGACCTCAGGAATGAAGCATGAAAACAGCATCACCTACTCGAAGAATCTGAACGGAATAAGTCTAAGATGGAGAGGAGGATGAAGGGGCTGGAGGAGATGATGAATCCTCAATGAGGTACTATTATATTCTATTTATAATCTGACCCTACACTTTTCAGCACAAGGTTATTTTTAGAAACCATGGAACTGCATCCTAAGATGGCCTAAGATGCTGTTTTTAAACAGAGCTTTTCTAAAAAAAGAAACAAAAAGCCCCTAAGTTATCATCAGTCTTTTTTTTAGCCTTCATTACATATTCCTGAACCGCAAAGCTTATCCACTACCAGCTCTCTGTACACAGAGCAGCTAGAAAAGGAAGCTGAAGAGATTAGGGAGGGAAGAACAACATTATCAAGTAGGTGAGGCTTTTTGTGCCTTTAGGCACAGTTCTAGGAAGTAGCTGCATCCCCACCATCTGCAAGAACATCCCAGATGAACAGTTATCTGAATGGGTCATGATGTGAGACTGGCAAAAGAAACTATCTGTTGTGACTTCATTGACTTACCAGCCTTGCTTTTAAGGGATTTCTTCAGTGCCTGAAAATTTCTGCATCACCCAAGCCAGTTGTCTACATCATCTTTTACCTTTAGTTTATTTGAAAGGCTTAAATAATCTCCAGCCTAACACACAGCCGTCCCTTCTCTTCTACATTTCAGTATTAACTATTCAGTGATTCATGCATAAAAGGTCAGATCACCTTAATGCAATTTCTTTGTTAATGTAACGTTATCTTACTGTCACACGTTGATTTAACATCCCCAAAACTACAGGCCTCCTTCTTGATGAAAAAGCTCTCTCTCCTTCCCCACAATAAGAATAAGAACTGGAATAAGAACTGGAATAAGAACTACTTCGCAGGTAACTGGATGCCCACAATTACTTCTCTAGTTTTTCTTACATAAAGTTGTATTCATTCAAACAAATCCAAAGAAAAATGACTTAGCAGTTGCTTATTTTGGTCATCTTGCCCTCAATGCAACAGGTAGTTGTATAGTTCCATTTTGTATTATGGATTGAACCTTCTCCAGCGTTTCCTCTTCTCCTTATGGAAACAAAATCCATTAAACCTCTAAGAAATCTCACATCCCCCCGCCCCCTTCCCCACTCCAGTCCTGCTCCCATCTCTCAAACACAGCAGTCACCTGTAAAGGCCAAAGTAGCGGAGCTTCTTCATGAGGGCGTAGTAGGTGTTGTGAGGAGGATACCAGCTGTAGACCTCCTTCCGCTTGGCCAACGGCTGCTCACTGAATAACTTCACCACTTTCATAGACTTGCTGTCAGTTGGCCTGGCCATTTCTCCAAATATCTGAGCGCTCAGGCGGGCCATTCGTAGCGCGTAGTTGGAGACACCGGACATTTCCCAAGGCAGACCTTCTGTGCACACACATAGACCTTCCTACAAATGGAAAAAAAAACCCGCCACAACTTTTTAAGATAAATGAGTATTCCAAATTTTCCCAGGTTTAAGGCAATCAAAACAATTCATGGTACAACRATCACCTAAGTCCTACACTCCTTGCATGAAATTGGTCTAATTCTTAATACACAACTCTGTATATAAAGAATATACTTACACTAATTTAGGTACAATTAGAAGCTTAACTAGAACAGTACAGGAAGCCATATGAACAAGGGAAAAATTCTACACYGAGTGGCATCTCATTATTGCTAGCTTATTAGTGGCTCCCACGTAGCTTGCTCAAAGCTGGCTTTGTGCGCCAGTCACAGGAATGATTGCAGCGTGAACTCTGCCAAAAAATGGGGCCTGCTGTCAAGTCCTCTGGCTTCTTTACACCTCACTCAACTGCACTGAGCAGAGAACCCAGAAATTTTGCTCAGGAATATTTCTTACCCTATTTAAAATATTTTATAAATGGAGAAGGCTTTCTTTCAGAGCTTCATTCACCTGGGGAAAAAAAGCTTGTTAACTGTATAAAGAAATAAAAGCAACAGTCTGAATCTCTGATGTTGGTTTTCAGCTCCCTGTCAAAAACTAGACTTGTCCAGTTCTGCTCCTTTGGATAACTCCAGTGGGAAAGTCCTTTCCACAAAAGATCCCTGCATGGGTGGGTTGGCAGCCTCCATCTTATGGATCTAATGGAGAAGAACAAAACCCACATGACTCTTTAAGTATTTTAAACATTATGTTGTCTGTACTATGCCCATTCAAACAAGACATAAGTCTTCAGAAACAGTAAAAGGGGTTCTTTCACATGCATCACTTATTAAAAAAATAAGAATTTTAATATTTAAAGTAATGTACAGCTCATTCCAGAAACCCACAGCTGAGTAAAGATGAGCATGAAATATTAAAAGCATGCAGCAGAAACAAACATCATCACCAGGACATGGCTCAGTCGATTTTAGTAAGATAACAGGAACCTCATAGTTTAGTAACATGAATCTGAAGTACTCATAACCTCCCTCATGTACTTCTACCCACTGAAGCCCTTTATGTACAACTGTCTACACTGATTTACTCTTGTTAGCTGTTAGCAAAGCATGAGAGAAGCAGAAAGAAAAACAAGTCTGAGGAAAATACAACTGCTGTGGGTGAAAGCGCKTAACAGAGCAGCGGAGGGAGGGCAGGGCACCCAGAGAGCCCAAGGTGCAGCAGCAGGCCTGGTGTGAGGGGACAGAAGCTCTTAAACGATTCCCGGGCGGTTTCAGTTATAGCATCCGCTATAAGGGAAGGAAAAATAAACCTTGCTAAGTCAATTGCAAAACTGACGGTTCGAACTCCTCCACTGAAAGATAAAGCAATATTTTTTCTCTGTAACTTTTCATAACAACACAGGAGCCAACTCTAACACAAAGTTTGCCTCTTTCTGCTACAGCCTTCCAACAAAAACGCCTTTARCTCCTAGATGATGCCAACTAGTGCCCTGGGGGACCAGCTCTCCCTAAAGGAGCCCCATAAACAGCTCAATCCAAGGCTGGAGACCCCAGCTGCCCATCTATGGATATTTGAGCGATTAGGAGGGGGAAGGCTGGAAGCTCCCATTTGGCAYAGCTTCCCAAAACTTGTTTTACAATGACCTAAGGTTCTGCAGAGACTACCAGGCAGGTTTCACACTGGCAACTTACAGCAGGGAGGTTATCAGAGGGCTGTATTGGTAACCAGTGCACCCAAGAGGAWGGCAAAACCACCCCTCACTGCATCTTCATCCACTGTCCAGCCCTTATTGCCACCCAAAGCCCTCTTCTCAATCTTAGCCTGCATTTCGCTGTTCGCTTCCTTTCAGACCAAGGGTTTCTCTCAGACCACGTCTCCCTCCGCCCGCCGAACAACCCTCCTTCCCCTCTGCACAGTTACAGGTGACTGTCCCACAGCCACAAGGGCAAGAGCAGCCAGGCCCAGGCCCGGGCGAGGGCGAGGGAGGGATGGAGGGCGCCGAGGCGCTGCCGCCACCAGGCCCCGGCTCCTCCAGCTCCGCCGCAGGCCGCGGCTCCGGGGACGCGGCGAGCGCCGCTCGCGGACACCCCGCACGGCCCCGGGGCGCCCCGCACACGACGGCCCCGGGCAGCCTCGTCCCGCCAGGCCACTCACCCCGCGCCGCTCCGCGACCCAACGCAACCGCGATGGCGACGGCGACGGCGACGGCAACGGCAACGGCGCCCGGCACGGCGCATGCGCCCTCCTCAGGCGGCGCGGCGGGTGACGCGGCCGCAGCGGAGGGGCGGGGCGGCCGTTGGCGGCCGTTGCCGACCGTTGGCGGCCATCGGCSGCCGTTGCGAGGGGCTGGTTGCCACCGCCGGTTGTAAGCGCGGTACTTGGCGGCGATCGCAGTTCGCAGTACTTGTTGTGTCTGCCTGTGGTGGTCYGCCATTCCGTTATGAGCGCGGTACTGGGTGGTGATCCCAGTTCCCGCTGGCTTCAGTGGTGCCTTTTCCACCTCTGCTGGGCCATTGCATGTCACTTACACGTGCACTGCTTGGTGGCACCCTCTGCTCCTCACTTTCAGCAGGGTGRCTCACGGCCTGCACCTCTCCAAGTGGGCCCTGCTGTTCACGCGCCCACACGCTCTCCATTTCAGTCCTCTTCCACTGAATGACAGGTTTTCAGTAGCTTTGACCACCTAGTCATCCCACCTATCTGCATTGTCCATCGTTTCCTTGTTGTACTTAACATTCCTGGTTTTTGGTGCTACGCAGCATTTAATYTGGGCAGTCCCAGGCAGTACCAGTCTCTTGCCATCATGTCACAGCCACTTAGTTCACCTGCCTCCCTCGTAACYGCTTGTGACAGTCTGTTAGCTGGTTCTGAGCCCACTTAATATGTCCTTTTCTGACGCTGTATTATGCTAATTTTTAATCAGTGTCAGGAGGTACTAAATCAGACTCTGTACAAACATCTGAGTAAATTACAATTATGTGATTACATTTATAAACCAAACGAGTAATGTCATCAAGAATGAAATTGAGTTCATCTGACAAGATCTATTTCCCCCCCYGAAAAGCTTATTGGCTAGTGTTATACGTGTTGTTATTCCTTGGTCCTTCCTTGATTTAATTTCCTATCACTTGTCTGTTACTTGCCTGGGGCAGATCCTCCTGATGCCCTAGAGACCCCAGGTCATCTCATTTGCCCTTTTGGAACATTGGCATAATCTTCTATTATCTCCTTCATTTTCCAAGATTTATTAAAAATTAACAGCTTACCCAAGATCTCCTTAGCCAGCTCTCCAAGGACTGTTGCACGGAAGTTCCCTAGGCATCCTAATTTAAAAATCTTTATTCTAGTAGATGTTGTTTACCATCTTCGTTAGTTACTAAGGGACTGGAAAACACTTCCTCATTACTAGATAATAAAGTGCCTCAATATGGAAGAGAAAATGTTAACATTTCTGCCACTTCTGTACCATTTTTTTTCTATCTAGTAGGATCTCTCCTGTTCTTAATATACTTACCCCCCTMCCTTACAGTCTATAGTCTTCATTTTTTATAACATTTTCCCCATATTTTTGCCTTTCCACATTTTTAACTTTGCACTGTTTCTATTCACCTTACTGCTGACCCAAGATTGTCACATCCTTAGCCAAAATGGTCCTTTTTGATAATTATAAAATCRTAGCTTTTAAGTTACGTAGAGAGCTCATAAGAATTCACAGACATTTCTCTCTCTATTTTCGTGTCATTTTTTTCTCATCTAGGAGAGGAGGGAGACAGACTTTCTGAAGCGTCTCTGTGTATATGTGTTGGGACTGTCCTTTTTGCCTCTTAATTATTGTAATCAGGTTGTGATTGCTAGTTGCTAAGCAATCAACATTTTTCCTGTCCCATGATTAAATTGTTTGACATTATGAATTCCAAAATACCTTTCCCGAATAGCCTGGAATAACTTCTGTCCCAGAAAACAAGTTTTGGAAACTACAAGGAGATGTGGCTGCTGGCTATGTGGTGCTTTTCCCTTATAGCACTTTTTGTACATTAGAGGAATGAATAGTGTGACTAATGAGTGGTAGCCACCTCCACCTCCATTCCGCCCCTCCTGAATTGGATTAATCAGGATAAGTTACTGTTTCTTCATCTCTAAAACAATGATGTATTTTAATGTGGAACATTACCATCTCACATTTTCAAATTGCTTTATATTTTTTTTCTTAAAAGGATTATAGCAGAATATTTTAATTTTCTAATTTGGTGAATTGCCCTGACTGTTTCAGTAATGTTAATTAGATTTCATTTCTCCTCTGCAGTGAAAATGTTCCGTTCTTGCATGTTACTGAGGCTCAGAGATTTGGCATGCAAAAACCATTGAAAAATGTCCCTTTGGGTATGCGTTGGCCTAGAAATGGACCCGAGAGCATGGTCTTCATGCCATTGCTGTTTCAAGCAGCGTTATCACCTTGGTTTCTGTTTGTCTAAAATTACTCTGCTCTGCCTCAAATAAGAGGCATTGAACGGATTAGGTTAATGTAAGAATTATGGCTGTTCACAAACAGAGCGGGAGCTGAAGTGGCTCTGAAACACTAGGAAGCAGTCGCCATGCGAAGCTTTTATTTTCAGAGATCACATGTTGCCTCTGGCCTGCAAGCAACAAAATAAATAAACAAGAACCAAAACCTGAAACATAACTGTCCAGGTAAAAAGCTCCAAGATGGCTTTTCTTTTTTTTTTTTTTTTTTTTTTTTTTTCTTGGGAGTAGGCACATATATATGTACATTAGTTCATTTCCTATATCTTTTTTCTTTTTTTTTTTTTTTCTTTCATAGCGGTTGTTCCTCCAAGCGCTATTAAATCTGGGTGTGGGAATGAAGTAGAAATGTGTGTTCCCAGCAGTGCGTGTTCTTTGCTGCACGGTTGATGTGACTGTGGGTGTGAGGAGGAACCAGGCCCCGCGCACACGCTCAGGGAGGAGCACCAAGGGCGCATCAGTGAAGAGAGCCRCGACGCGGCACAACTGCCCGCTTGCAGGCGTGGAGCGAGGTCAGTTTTACAAGCCGGAAAGCCACAAATGGTGTTGGACACCACATCCGAGGGCCACCTGCCCCTTCCCAGATCCTGCCAGGGAGCTTAAGCTCTGCGAGGTGTGGGGTTCCAGGGGATAATGCTATCTGCGACCCGCTGCCCAGGTGTGATAGCAGACCGGGCAGGATGGACGCTGTTCTGGCAGGCTGGCAGTGCCATAACCACCATCCCCACGAGAATCCATCTCCCCATGAGGAAGAACTTATTTCCTATAAGGGTGACAGAGTCCTGGCACAGGCTGCCCAGGGAGGCTGTGGAGTCTCCTTCTCTGGAGGTCTTCCAAACCCACCTGGATGCCGCCCTGTGCCCCGTGCTCTGGGTGTCCCTGCTGGAGCAGGGGGTTGGACTAGATGATCTCTAGGGGTCCCTTCCAACCTCAACCATCCTGGGGTTCTGTGATTCTGTGAGTAGTGGTCTTGCGTGGCACACAGGACACCTGCTTATTTCAAAGGCTGGTGATTCACCTTCAGGATGATGACCAAACTGGAGACCAATCYCTTTATTTTTGTGTATTCAGTCACAGAAGATGTTTCTTTGCTTAAATTTCATCATTATCACTGCAGGAGGAGAGAGGAAGGGAGGCCATGACTAATTTATTCCATTCATTCATCCCTGGCTACCTTTACTCTTATCCAGAAAGATGGGATGGTTATTGAGAGAGGGTGAACAAAAGTTAGGTCCCTGGAGCTAGCGGTATGGGGAGTGCTGAGCACGGT